ATAAAGAGTTGAGTTACAGTAAAATGTAAACATTTAAAATGTTCATTATTGCTATACACATATAATAATACTATATAACAACGTCTATTACATAATATCTAAAAAATATATAAAAGATAAAGAAACTCGTGGGCTTTCATTCCCTTCTGAAATATTTCATGTGTAACTTAGATAATTAAATATGGAAGTATTCAATGAACATCCAAAATTAAATTTATAGGTATTCATTAACATAGAACTACTGATAGTTGTAGTTTTGCATAATTGCCAAACATGGGAATCCTTTTAGTAATGATAAATATGAAAGACGCATATATAATGTAAGTTCTACTTTAATCTGTACATTTTAAATAAAAATCTATAATACAATAGAATCGGCTTATAATGGCAATTAACATCATCAATAATATTTGTAATTGTATTAATGTTTTAATGTAGTGCAAGTAGATTAATGACAAAACTTTAAATAAATATTAGTTAAGTTCAGTATAATACCATAGAAGTATATCATTTTCATCTATAAAAATTGTTTATAATTTTGTCTGTAAAAAACTGAAATGAAACTATTGTTATAAATCCACTAATAAATCTTTTCTTTCGAGTTAATTATTAAATAAATACTAGACTAGTATATAAACGTAAAACATTTGTATCTAAACTAAACATGAAGTTTCTAACAGCACTCGCTGCACTTTGTGTGCTTTTCAACATCATCTACGCATCCGACAATATCGAAGAAGATTCAAAATTAACAGCTGTAAGTTTTTATTCTCATTTTTATTAATAACAAACTAATTTAAATAATTTCAGCCGGAACTTGTTGAAAAATATGGATATCCCATCGAGAACCACTACGTAACAACAACTGATGGATATATACTTAATCTGCAACGCATTCCTTTCGGTAAAAATGGAAATATCAATGAAAAAGGTATACCGGTTATGCTTCAACACGGTCTCATCGCTTCTTCTGCTGACTGGGTTTTAGCAGGTCCCGAAAAAGGATTCGGTAATACTTGTTAAAATATATAAATTATATTAGCTAACTCTTTATTTTAATGCAGCTTACATTTTGGCCGATGCCGGTTACGATGTTTGGATGGGAAATGCCAGAGGAAACCGGTACTCCCGTAACCATACAACATTAGATCCGGATAGTGATGCAAAGAAATTTTGGGACTTCTCTTGGCATGAAATCGGAATCTATGATATTCCTGAAATGATTGATTACATTTTGGAAAATACTGGTCATTCTGATTTATACCACATTGGTCACTCGCAAGGAACGACAAGTTTCTATGTGATGTGTTCAGAGAAACCCGAGTATAATCAGAAGATAAAGGCTCACTTCAGTTTGGCACCAATTGCTTTTATGAATCATTTGGTCAGCCCTTTGATTAGATTCCTTGCTTTGTTCCAAGGTGGATTGGGGGTAGGTTATTACACCACGTTAAACGATAAAATTATTATATATTTTTTTTTATTATTAGGCCTTATCTAATCTGGTAGGAGCTTACGAATTTAATCCATCAGACGGTCTTCTGGAGATAGTTACACAAAAGGTGTGCGAAGAAGGAATTCCACAAATTGCTTGCAAAAATACTATGTTTGTGTTAGCCGGTTACAACAAGGATCAAATGAATACAACTTTGTTACCTCTGATCACCAGCCATTATCCTTCCAGTTCAGCGACAAAACAAGTTCTTCATTACTGTCAAGAAATGAATTCAGGTAATACAAAGCAAAGAATAACTTATATCGGAAAATAATTGAATACTTTTAGGATATTTCCGCCAATATGACCATGGATTAATATCAAATAAAAAACGATATGGATCGATCAGTCCACCTGATTATAAATTACATAAAATTTCTGCTCCAGTCTATCTGCTTTATAGTTTGAACGATTGGATGTCCGCCGAGAAAGATGTTAACAGACTATACGATCAACTTTTTAATGTACCGGTTAAGAAAATTGTAGACCCTAATTTCAATCACATCGATTATCTTTGGGGAATCGATGCCAAAACAATTGTTTATGATGTTGTTATTGGTTATATGAATGACTTGCTTGATTTGTGAATTTACAATGTAATAAACTAATTATGGGCTATTCATCAGCAACAATAAATTTCTTTTTTTTTTATTTTACACTTTTTTCTTCATTTGCTTCAAGAAATATTGGCATTATTATTAACATTTGTGATTTATTATAAATTGTTATAAATATCAATAATAATACCATTTATGGTAAAATTAATGTTTGTACTGCTGTTCGGCATAACTAAAATAGTTTGAGTAGTTTCTGTTAAAAATATCAATAAAATATGTTTTTGTATCTTTCTACAATCTTTTGCACATTTAAAAATGTAAAACTAATCTTGATATAATTATTATAAAAAAGAACATAAATTTATAATTAATATAATAAAACAATTTTATGTAAATATGTACATTAGTTTATTTATTTATCACAAATGTTCTTTACTGCGATCCTATATGTATAATAAGTTGTCTATACTCCTTTAAGAGCAAACTAATTTTAGTCAAATGAGCGCCCAGAACGAAATATGATTTAAAGTAATATTTTCTAATAACTATAGCATCATGTAACTCAAGTTTTCCAGATAATATTAATAAAATTGTATATTAATAACGTGCTATTGACATATTATTTGATAATATATTATTAATTTCATTTTTTTTTCTTCACCAATAGTAACAGATACATTTTTGTGTTTGACGCAATAGTAAAGTCGTAGATAAAGTATATTTGCTAGATTTGTAAAATTTCTAAGTTATCTAAAAATTACACAAATAAGAATTTTATCTATTAACATAAAGAAAGACGCATAAAGTCTACTAAATACTCATGATTGTCATATACTAAATGCTAATAATTAGTAAAGAAAATACTTATAATTACAATAATTAATAATTTTAATACATACTAAGCAATAAATGCGAGGAAATTAAATATTTATATTATTTAAATATTTAATGTTTTCCTTTGGTTTCATATCCTTCTAACATTATCTCACTATTATCTAATAATGGGTGAAACTGAGAAGTTTCAAAACATAATAACGTATAGAAATATTTTAATTTTAGAAATTATTAATATGCAAAATCAACATAATTCAAATAAATTTATATAAAGCAAAGAGATGACATATTTGCGTTTCTTTTCAAAAAATAAAGAAAATGAATAAACATCTCTTTATTTCATTCAAATATGAACGATTTCATCCGCATTCCATAGCTGCTATTCGTATAATTGAGGGAAACATTCTTATGTAACCTAATAGGCTGTGGGAAGTGCCAGGTAAACGAAATGGTATATATATAATGTTTTGTGTTTCTCGTTTCAATAAAAAAATTGCTTGCTCAGTTGCAAAATGAGATTCTATGCACAAAGAGTAGCTTCAATGTATAAGAAAAGTACGCAGTTCTAATTGTGTCGTGGAATTGCAGATATGAACGCAAGCAAACAATTCTGATGAGTTGCCGGAGAAGAGTGGAAATCTTAAAACATATTTAGTGATATTTTGGGAACAATTCAGGTATTTTAATTAGAAATATTATCTCAATTTTATTAATTAGATATTAAATACTCTATAGAGTCTTTTTATATTATCAGTAATTGTGACCTTATCCAAATGACTGAGAAACCATAAATATTATCTTTCTTTATACAACAAATAATACTCTCAAGAAATAACAAGCTATACATTTATTTTAATGAAAATATCCTATATTGTCTAAGTACATTTAAATGTTTTATTTAAAAAAAATATCTGCAAAGAAAGTCCATTATAAGATGATTACAATAATTACTGATACAATATATTGGTTTTTCTCTTATTTCGTAAATACAATCACTACGTCTTTGGAATCTTTTATTAATATAAACTTAATTTCTATTATAAGAAGTAGTTGTAATTGATAATGCAGTGATGTTCTTGTCTTATTTTTATTAATTGTAGATATTTTCAAATATGATAGTATTATTAGTATTTTAACAAAAAACAAATTGATTTATAAACATTTGTTTTAAAGTCAGTTGCATGTGAGGTAAAATTTTAAATAAAAAAGTATATTTGCATGGATCAACGCGAATCGCTTAAAAAACATAACATGGACAAATGTTTACGATTTATAAGAATAATAAATCAATCACTTGAAGAATGTGCTAACAATAAAGAAAACGTAAGCATTAATCGTCTAAATAAAGATAAAAGAAATACGACAGTAGACAATAGGGAATAAGTAAAATTGCAGATAAAGTCATTATAAACAATGTATCCAATACATATTCATGGTGAACTATTTTTAAATTGAGTTTAACATTTTAATTGCCGTTTCGCTCTTAACGACACAACAATTTGCAACGCGAATGAATGCTGTTTTCGAAACGCAACAGAAACCAAAAATAACCCGACTTACATAACAATTGTGTAGCCCCCCGTGCACGTTGTGATACGTGAAATATGAATGATAGTAGTAACTTGCATCAATTCTGCACTTCGATAATAATGAAATTGATATTAAGAAGAAAGAGCGACGCATGCGTCTGCACTTGTTCGCAGTCACCAATATTAAGTATCATTTAGTTGGTGTTCAGTCATCGCTCGGTCGGCTATTCGGAAACGTGGAATTCGCCGCCGCCGCCTTCCATTTGAAAGTTGATCATCGATGGATCACTTCGATTTGAGTATTGCTAATCGAACGTGCGAATATGCCGAAAACCGCGCCAGATTATTCAAATAGAGGCGCAGCCTTAAGGACGAGTTGTCCACATGCAACGTTTTTCGAACGCGCTTCTCCTTCACACTCTCATCATCTAATTTAAGTGAATTTAATAGACCACTTGACTAGTCCAATAAAAATCAAAAATAAAAAACAAGATTTCAGTAATTCTATTAGCGTGCTTCTCAATGTGCAGATGAACTGGACCGAAAGATGAAGCAACCTACTCTACTCTGTGCGCAGTGATTTCGAAATACATATTAATTGGAGCAATAAATTAAAACGTTCGTTTAAGAGTACCGCAGTTAATATCCTATATAATTAACTAGTTGAAACATTCAATGAAGAGTAATTAAAGGAAATATATATCTTTTGTTAAGTTTTGAAAGTATATTTCTAATGGAAAATAAAACACGTGCACGAGGTTTGCGCGGATTAATCAATTAATGGAATGTACAATTATTGATTAACTTGAAGGAAAATCCTTGTTCATTTATTGAATACAACAGTTGTGATAATTAATGTAGTGCTTTTTAGAGCGAAGTGTGTTAATTATATCGAATTTTGTTATGCGCCGATAGTGTATTGACGATAAGGAACTTTCAATGGACGAAAAATGTATCAGGAGTAAGTTTTTTTAAACCATTCATAACAATCTTTTCTATTTATTAAATCAACGTAAAATACAAATGCAAAAGTTTTCGTATTTATTTAATTATACTTCATAGTGATTCAAATATTAAAACTATAAAATAATTACAGAGGAATTTCGCTTTACGAGCATTTTGCTAAACGAGCAAAGTAAATTGTAGAAACGAGTGACGAGGAGAAGAGAAGTCTGAGATTGTGCGCCTGCTACATCATTTTAAAAACTTGAGTTCACATATTATTTGTATTTTTATATGTTATTTATTTATATGTTATTTATTTATATGTTATTTATAACACTTGCATAGATATGAAAAGCAAAATCATTAAAAATCGAGACCAAGTTATGAATAGAACGCATTATCGTATTTTACATTATTTCATATGGGAAACAAATGTTTCAATATACGAGTCGAAAACGAATTATGCTTTGTTAAGCGAGGTTCCACTGTATTTGTTCAAAAATATGGTTGTCTTAAGATACATAGCATATATTTATTGGCAAATTACGACCTCTTAACTTTAAATATTAGATAGTTACGACCACAATTTTATTGCCAATTAACATGATCATCTGTTTAGAAAAAGCCGGTTTTAAATAATTTGTTTTACTGCACATAAACTTACAAACGTAATAAAGCAACCACGTAAAGCAACTAAAAAAAATATATATAATTCCAACAATCAAATGCATTACAACACATCGATATGATGACCATCAAAATATAAAAAAAAATAATAACAATACAATAAATACTAAACACAGTTTACATAATTTCCAATGAAATGTACACAGAAGAAACTTGATTTCATATAGTTTATAGTAAAAGTATTGTTATCATGATAATTTTTTGGATTTAATAATGATTCTTGGAATGATTATATTTTACGTGTATTGTAATTTTTTGCCAATTCTAAAATATTTTTAGATTAATTTATTTAAATATCGTTTATTTTTTTCTTATCCAAAACTAACTTTTGTTATTGAAATTTGCGATGATTCGAGAAGAAAACATGTTATCAAATTATTTACATGACGCAGTTCTAACAATTGCTGAACGTATTGATAGTAAACTTTATGTAACATTACTATTCCATGACGTGCTATTGACGTTCTTATAGTAGAAATCGTACAATCGTTCTTATAAGTTGTCTAAAATACCAATGAAAACAAAAATTATGCTTTAGTTAGAATATAAAGAAAATTTAACGATAAAATTATAAATATATTGAATCAAAATATTGCAGTGGTTATTAATATTTGCAATTATTGTTATGTATAATTATTAAAAGTTGTATAATTGATTTATGATAAGCGTTTGAACTAGAAAAAGTATAAAAATATAAATAAATAGAATGTGCATTTTAAGAAAACAAGCAATCAAGATTGCTTTGATTTAGATTATATAAATAATGAATTGAATAGAAGTTGTTATTTGTAATACTACATTGGAACTACATTTCTTTCAGAATCTATAGTCTGACATCAATTAGTTCAAGGTTAACTATCCGATTGTCATCATAATAGTTCATACCGTTTCAGCCTCTTCAGCTTCATCTTAATCATGAGAGTATTTACAAATCGAGTAATAAAGCATGATCTTGTTTTTTTTTTACTATAGTTTTAAATAATAAATTTGTCATTTAATAACTAAATGAATGAAATATATTTTTACTAAATAAAAATAATTTATATATGATTCCTCTCTAGAAATAGATTTAATTATATTTAGTGCTCGAAGTGCAACATATATTATTCGTTTATATTTAAACCCAAATTGTTGGTAATAAATCTTCATAACTCGTTGAAGTGTACGTCTATTTTAAGATTCTAATAACTTTCAACATTGTAAATGATACAAGTTTTTAAAAGCAATCAAAAATACTACTTTCATTAAATTATAATTTTGGTATAATGAGATAAACAATTACATAAACCACTGTGTAAATTATTAATTAATTTGATTGAAACAATATAACTATTTTGAATTTGATAAAAAAAATATGACTGATAATTATAAAATTACCATTGTAAATTATGTATGGAAGAAAATATGTAAATGTACGTATATTTAATATAAACAATTACTTGTTTTCCATTTTTAATTAAAAAAAAACATTTGAAAGTACATGATTCATTTGTGTACGCTATTGAAAGTTTCGCTCGTTGTAAGGTTACCATAATAAATTACAATCAGCTACGTAAGTGGAGGTGGTGGTGGTGCAATTGAAGAATTATTTATAAATAAACGCGTTACGAAATGAAACAATAAATAAACTACACGACTATTGCTCGGCTCCAAAGTGAAATATTGACATTTGTTTCTTATAAATATTAAATTGTTGATGTTGCATTGAATGCATTCTCAAATAACTCTATTATAATAATCTATTAAACTTTTGCATTATAGAGATTCTTGTGAAAAAGAGTTGAATGTATTCAATAATGTTATAAACATTATTAACGAAAATGCTGTTGAATCAAATGATTCCGGATTAGATAATTGAAGTCCTTGAACTGATTGATGTCTGATTGAAGGTTCTTCAAGAAATCTATTGGATTGAAGCTGCGAAAACAATAGAAAGTAAATTTGATGTAATATCAATCATTTCCCTTGCTAGTTACACTTCTTTCAACTTCAATTTCAACTGTATTTAACTGATATAACAGAATTCAGGTTTTCCTGAAGTTTAATAAGAATAAGTAACAAAATCCATTTTGAGCTGCTGAAATCAGAATTGATGCTAACAAACAAATTAGTGGTGCCCTAGGTCAAAACTTATACAATTTGTGAAAACATGCATCATACTTTGATAATGAAATGTATTTTCGAAATATTTTCAGATATCAAAAACAAAAAGTACTTTATTGATTCCCGTGAAAAAAGAACGGTTATCTGCGTTATTTTTATATTTTCATAATGGCTAATACTTGCAGATTATATTAATTGCATCATCTGTTGGGTCTTTATCCGACAGCGCTTTTAATAAACGAGATAAATGGTGTGCAACCAATTACAATCGTTATTATATATTGTGACATGTGGATTTCTGCGTCAAAGATTATTCATGTTTGCATATGATGATGGTGAACTGTTACATCCATTTTACAATGAAACCATTATTAACATGCAAACAATGATTAATTATATCTAGCACACGGTGCTATGATTTTTCTGTGAAAGTTCATTTGATAAATAAATTTATCTTGTGGTAACTCCGGAATTGCACAGCAGTCACGATTTTGTTTTGTTTTGTCTTAATGTGTCATCTGTCTTATGGTGACGTACGTGTTTTGAAAGAACTGGTTTCGGGGTGCAAATGCTTTGTTTCTTGGTGCTACTGATCTCTTTATATAAACACACACACAAAGCACACATAAAGCAGAACTGTAAATACTCATATAACCTGTATTATATATTGTTTGCTGTGCGAACGCATTTATGAAAGTAACGAGAAAGTATCATGGACTCTCTACAAGGTGTTGTTTATCAGCGATCATAATCTTATCTGGAGAGAAGACAACTTAACATCACAGGTGTTGACAGGCATCATTGTAACACTGTAAACCATCGTGATAACAGCGCTGTTAATTGTCACCAGGTAAGTTCTAGAAAAACCATTTCTAAATCACTCATTTATATCTCGTATTAAAAGAGGTCGATGTTCTTGCAATTAATTATTCTGCCAATGATTGTATTCCTTATTCATCTGCGTAAATTACGAAACCAATTTATAAATAATTACATTCAATTAAAAAAAAAACTATTATATAAATGTAATTTCTTTAATTTTTATATATGAATATTTCAACTGGTTATCAAAATGTTTGTTATCATCATTGGTAGTAGTGCTTCATTGCGGTGGGTGTTTCTAACAGGTTCAAGTTTCTGACGGTCGGTCAGTTCATTTGCGTCATCGGATTGCGGCGTGAAAACAATTTTACTGACTGTGACATTTATGGCCCGTTATATAATACACCATCGGAATTATAATTTGCCGTGCAAAAAAAAAAAAAAGTTGTAACAATGTTTCAATTTCTTTTCTTTAGTTTTTGGTACGAATAATGTTCGTACGTTTTAGTGCCATGAATGTGTAATGATGCACTTTGCATATATTATTGAAATAACGATACTAAAAAGGTAACGGTTGTGCAATGCGTTTCAGAATATATACTAAAATTAGACGTTGTAATTTACTTTTTGACTTAGTTAAACGTAACGAATTTAATTAGTCGTTAACTCGCAGATAAGAAAACTACATTAGGTTTCTATTAAATTTGATGAAAATTTGTATATTTTTAGTCGTCACTTAATTATGTTCAATGACTTTCCATATTCTGTACATTAAGTCATAGGGAATAAACGTAGATATAGACAAAATTATATATAATACATTACATTAATTTTTATTATATTTAAAGGACTTTGTCATAAAAATATAGCTATTTTCTATAGTTATTAATAGTTACAATTATTCTTATTATGAATTTGTGTTGTGTTTGTATTTGAAGTGAAATATTTTGTATATTTAACTTTAATCTATGTGTTAATTGAAAATTGTGCTAATTACTTGCACTCTGTCTAATATAGGTAACTGCAATTTAAATGTTAATCATATACAGAAAGTACGTTGTTTTTGATGTTATTACCTGAAGGTTAAATAAGTTAAAACATATGAAGCATCCGTTATTTATGTAATCTGTTGTTTATCATGGTGGCTGTTACAGTGATTACTCAATTTAGATTTAAAGCAATTGTCGCAACTGTCTTTAACAATGTTCATATGAAAAAAAACTAAATCAGTCTTCCTTTAAGCAAACAAACTATTTCACTTAGAAAGAGGAAGATGACCTAAAATTTAACAAAATAATTTATCAGTTTTCGCCTTCATATATTTTCTTATACATTTAATAATTGCCTTATTTATTATATATTAGTTTAATAAATATTCATTAAATGTGTTTTAAAATACAATTT